AACAAAAAAAAAGCAAAAGCCACCTTGAGCACCATACCAAGTTTTTGAATTCTATTTAACATACTGATGAATGAGAATGTGATAATGATACAATTAATCTCTAAAAATTTAATTATTGAAACCAGCTTTTATTTATTTATTTTTTTAATTTTTAGAAAAACAATGTAGTAAACATACAACAGTCATTTTTGATATAAAACTGTAATGCAGACCAAAGTGGAATATCCCTGAAAACGTTTTAAGTAAATAAAAAATAACTTTAACAAATTTTTTTAAAATTACTTAACCAAATATAAGTTAGATTCTAATATTGCTTATAAATTTTTGATGAACAATGTACCGTACTATCCTTATGACCGCTACATATCAAAATGAATAAATGAACTAAAGCAAATAATAAGTAAATAATTGTTAAAAACTTTTATTTACTATTGTTTAATTTATTTTATATATAAGCCTACTCTGTTTCATAAAAAAACAATTTTAATTTCAAATATCATAAGCATGAATTCCATTTAGAAATGTTGCACAATCTGATGTATCTGAAGGTTTAATATTAAAGCAAAGACATTTGCATGTTTTTTTTTTTCTTTTTTTTTGCAATTTTGCATTTAAAGGTCTTCTTCATACACACACAGGTCTATTGATGCATTGTTGTTGTTTGTAAGCTCTTCTTATCTTGCATCCACATTTAATTTTTTAATTAAATTTATATATTTTTAAAAGAATTTGATTCATAAATCACTCTTATAATTTTCTGTTGTGTCCATTTATAATTGTTCCTAATTATATATTAATGCATTATCACATCGATAGAATGGAATTTTCACTTCATTGTTTTTAATTTTCAATTAGTGGTATAAATTTATTAACATTACTAGTCAAAATACTTGCTTTATAAAATTTGTGGATTGTTATCTCTATACACCATTTATATTAAAAAAAAGAATACTACAAACCTCTATTTTAATAATTTGCAAAAGCTTCAAAAATAGTTTCTTTTTTTAAGTAATATTAAAATAAAATGTATTTTATTATTCTCTCTTAGTTTTGTTAAATGAATAAATAAATTTTATACAGTAAAACATTTTTATGAAATTTATAGATAACACTAACATTATATTTTATAAATTTCAGAAAAAAACAAATCACTCCTCTTAGCAAAAAAACTTAAATATTAAAAAAATGAATTTGAGCATGGATTTCATTATGAACTTTATGCTTATGAATAAATTTAATTTTGTGTGTATTTATGATATTAAAGCTATCCCAAATGAAAAATAAAAAATGAATAGTTTTTCTTTTATTGGGTCATTGCAAATAAAATGGCCATTTTTTAAAATTTAAACTTTCTGGCCTTGTAGTTCAACTTTCTTCTATGTGAACAGTGATGTATGTTTGCAATTGGAAGAGCACACATATAATATGTGAATTTAAAAAAGTAATCTCATTTACATTGTCAGTTCCAACATGTTTATGAGTACTTTTTCTGATGGCATGGAAAAAAAGGAAATTTCTTTTACAAGAAGGAACATAATGCAACCAAAGTAATCCAAAATACCAATAACTTTTGGTGAAGGTTCTGTGAGTGAGCAGGCCACCAGGAATTGGTTCAAAAAACTTTCATTCCAGGAATACAAATCTCAAAAATCAGAACATCACCTGACTGCCTGAGAAATTGCAGAAAGGTTGAACACATTGGATGTTGCATTTTGCAACATCTGAACATGTTATGGAAAGTCAAGAAGCTCAACAAATAGGTACTGTACCAGTACCACATGAACTCAGTGAGAGACATAAGAGCATCATTTGGAGGTCTTCTGTTCTTTAATTATTTGTCACAAAAATGAAAGTATTCAAATAAGTCTTCCCCATCCACTTTATTCTCCAGACTTTTTTGCCAACAGACTATCACTTTTTTTATACATTTGGACAGTTTTTTGGCAAGGAAAGTCTTCAAGGAAGAGGATGCAACAAAAAATACCTTTAATGACTTTTTGGCTTCTCATTCTCATGATTTCTATCAAATTGGCATTAATGCATTTCTACTGCATTGAGAAAAATGTATTAATTTGGGTGAAGACAATTTTGATTGAATATGTAAAGTTTTAAATTAAATTAATAAATGTTCAAGTCAGAAGTAAAAATCGACCATTTCATTTACAGCAACCTAATATAACTATTTATTATTTTTTCATTACACAATAAATTAAATTTGTCTTCACTTGTCAGTTCCTTATTTTTTATAGTCTTGCTACTCTACATTTGAGGGTTTTAAGCAGAATTTTTATTTGCTATTCTTAAAAAATTCCAGAGAAAGGCATTTCAGAAAATTATTGTTAGAAAGTATAATTATAGTAGTACAAATATAAATTATAAGTATAACATATTCATACTATATATAATTTTAAAAATTATATATAGTATGATTTACCTACATTTGATTTAGTAGTCTATTTGATTTAGTAGATTTTTCAAAAGCCTCAAAAATATGGTTTTTTTTCAATTATATATATAACTTTTATAAATTATTTATAAAAGTTATATATATAATTGAAAAAAAACCATATTTTTGAGGCTTTTGAAAAATCTACTAAATCAAATGGAACTTTATTTGCTTTTTAATTTTAATTAAATTTTTCTAAATTAAAATAACATATTATCATTGATAATATTGTCTTATAAATATACAGATTTAATCCAATATTTCAATGAAGGATAATACAAATAAATTATTTTGTAATATATTATTCCATCAAGAAAACTATATGAGGATTTTTTCTCATTTTAGTAATATTTGTTCTTTTAAATTTCTCAATAATATTTTATTCTTTCATGTCAAAAATAATTATACTACTTTTTTATGATACATTGCATAATATTAATACAATATACTGTATTTTTATCATAGCTACAATTCTAAGAAAAAAAATATCAGAATATAAACAAACTTGTATGTATTTTTAACATATCATTAACTACCAGTATATAATTTTATTTATTAAAGTGAGAATCAAATTAATTAAATTATTTGTTTCCTTGTACTATTCATATAACTCTTCTAAAACCTACATTACTTAAATATTCTTTTCATAAAACAAAAAAATTTACTTTGGAAATTAATTCCTTTAAATTATTAACTGACTTAACTTTTACACAAAAATTATTAACAGATTCCATACAACAAATCCTAACCATGACATTACTATAGTCAACCTCAAAACTTATTCAGTTTATTAATTCATTGCTTGAATTAAATATATTTAATGCTAGTTCATTTAGTGCTTTATGACTCTAGCATATTATATTGAAGAATTTTCCATAAATTTTCCATAAATATTAATAATTTTTATATTGTACAGTACATAATACAGCATACTTGAGGAGTGGCCAAACCTTGTCACAATAGGAGTCATATATCACCTATCAGAAATACATGAAAGCCCATATTCTATTAGAGTGGTATTTTATATTATATTAGTTAAAATATTATAATTATCACTGTTCTATCACTGTTATTTACCTTACTTGTATTTTATAATTGGCTAGATAAACATACATTTTGACATTATGAATTTTGTCTTTTAATGTCTTTTGACATTATGAATATATCCTTAGTTGCCTAATCAAAGTTAAATTGCAAGTTACACTCACAATTCATGAGTATATCAGACTACATAATAATTAGAAAACCTACAAAATTGGTACATATTACTTATACATATGTAATAAGTTTATAAAAAAAAATTATATAAGTATACAGGAGCTGCCGAAAGAGTCTACAAGTGCTGCAGTTTGGCATAGAGATTACTAATTCCAGATTCTTCAATAAATAAACCTGCTCCAAAAGTAAATCTATGGGCAATAAGCCCATAGACTTGGATACTAGACTTTCAAAACCACAACTTCAGAGAAAACTACATCTCTCCAAAATGAAGTACAGGAAATGCAAATAACTTTCCAGACAACAGATTATTGTTGTTATAATGAACTAATCAGCAATAGTTTACATTGAAGTTGTTTCTGCAATTAAGTCTAACAAGCTTAGTTTCTGCAATTAAGTCTAAAGCTTATTATATATTATTATAAAGATATATATATTATTATAAAGAAATATCCATTATATACTTCTGTAAATTATGCAGAGATAACTTCAAATACAAACAATTCAGTTGCTTGCAATTCCATTTCAAATCAAAGCATCATATGGCTACATGTTTTTAACTAACAAATGTTTAAAAATTTATCAAATTTTTATTAAATGTATTATAGTTTTACTCATTTTGCCTCCACAGTAAAATAGTATAAAAATCCAATTGTTATTATAATAATATTAACTAATACTTCCTCTCAACTCATGCATCATTTGGAAAGAATATATGATGTAAATTTTTTTTATAAACTATCTTTATGTTATATAATCTATGTCCAACCAGTAATATATGATCAGTTGATTTAACATTAGGTGCCATCTATTAATTATGTGTACAATACAGTTTAAGGAAGAGAAAAGGATTGCAAAATGTATATCATTGTAAGACAAAGGAGAAGAGGCATTGTTTACATAGCCTTTTTTAGTGGTATTAGCAGTATATGAATTTGTTAATAAAAGCTTACTTATTAGTCAAATGAATAAACTGTCAGAAAATATTTGTAAAACTTTTTAAAGCCATTTCTTCGATATCAAGGGTCAAAATTATAGGCATAATTAATAGACAGTCCCTTATGTGCTGTACAATACAATAAATTATATTAGTCAAGGTGTAAATTTACTGATCTTTGATGCATACTACATGTCTGTTAGATAAACAATAAAATAATAAATTTTTCAATGTTAGATTAATTACCAATAAACTGTACTTTAAAGATGTAAATTATTTTATTTTGTTTATTACTATATTATAATTATTTTTAAACAGGTAAGTTATAAATAATCCATTAATGTTTGTTAATTGATTCAGTTTTTAAATGATGTACAGAATATCATTTTGTTGACTTACCTAACGGAATGTGGCATTGTAACCGAAGATGAATCACTCATTGTACTATGAAACAAATCATTAAAATGGACATTGTCGATACACTGTAAATCAAGAAAAAACATTTTAAATTCTTACAAACCTTATTTGATTTTTATTAAAATTAAAAAATTTAATCAGTTTATAACATTTAAACTTTTATGAAAAATATATCAAATAAAAAATAGATAAATTTCATATAAAATTATTATATTTCTTTGTAATTTAAAATACTGTAAAATTTTTATTTTATAAAAATTTTTTTATAAAATAAATTTTTTTTAACAGAAAAAAAATAGTATATATAGAAAGTAGCAAAAGGAACAAAATTATTTATAGATAATTCAATTAATACTTGAACTTTTTAAAAAAAAACCTTAAGCATATGCAAAAAATAACACAATAAAACTTAAATTTCATTAATATTCATTTTAATTCTTTTTTTGGATCTGATCATCATCACATGTATACAAAAATACATCACATTTCTTTATCTTGAATTATGTATGATCAAGTATCCATTAAACTTATTCCATATTCTATACATAAGGTGTAGTCAACTAAGCAACGAGAGCCACACTTAAGGAGTCAACATCAATAAGAGTCAATGATGTGAACTGATTAACACTGTAATGTTAATGATACCATGATAATACTATATTGTCAATCAAATTAAGTTTATTTACTGTGAGAACATTAATATAATATGGTTTATCTGTTCTTACTTAATATTATTTTGGAAAAAGTGTAGTGATATTATCTGAGCTTCTCACTCAGAATCTCTAAATGATCAGCTTTGTCATACTGCTGTTAGAGAATCACATGAGTCACAACACATGCTTCAACATTATTTAATATATATAGCAAGTTTACTTGAATAATTTGATGTATATTAACACAAACAATTCATAAAGCAGTCTCGACAGCATTATGAGTGAAAAATACTCTTTATTGTTTTTGTTGTAATAAACTCTAAGCAGAACTACGAGTAAAATTAAGAAGCATTTGTCAGGTGATTATTTTTTAAATGTATACAATATAAAAATTAATATTTTTATTATAATTTGAAAGATAATTCATTTGTATTGATTGTATTCATGCTTATATTATATGCATGAGATATTGTGCAAGAATTATCTCAATCAATTCCTTTCACTTAATTGGTATAAAAATATATAAAAAAAACAATCATCAGAATAAATTTAAATGAATGTCAAGAGGTAGAATAGAAACAGAAGCCAACTTTATTTAAAAACAGACAAAAATGCACGTGTAAAGTTATGTTTTTATGATAAAAATCCTCGATATAAATATTTATATCAGATCAGCATCCATCCAAATTTTTGCAATCGTCATGCATGACGAAATGCATACGTCGTTTGCTACGTAACACCAAATGAATTGTCAAACAATCATTTTAAAAATAATACACGCATTTAAATTATCATAGATAATTTTCGCGGATTATTTTTCGATTTTATTTCGGCATTTATGCAGTATTTTGAAGTGATTTTTTCCTTAATAAATTTTTCTTCTCTCCGTCTTCTAATTGCAAAATGCTCCAGGTTGTCAGGTCACGTGACATTTGACATTAAGCGCGGATAATGTATCTGCGCCCGTTTAATGTTAACATACGTCGATTTTAAGCTTGACGTGAAGGAAAACGGGGCGATTTTTTGTGTCCTTTACTTATTTTTTCATGAAAACGCCATATGTGTCACCGGAGGTTTGACATAAGCACTGGAAGTCGTACGTTGGAGATTTTTTAGCCTCACCTGACTTATGTCGCTGGTCCAGGCTGCTTTTTCTTGCATGGTCGGTGCTACTAAGTGAATTGTGACCGGTGGACCACTCTTGAAGTCGACGATGATCTTAAAGTCTAATCCGCCATAGTCCTTCTGTCCACCACTAGATGTCGCGCTGCTCGCGTCGCTGCTCATCCCGCTGCTCTGACTGGAAGCGGAACTTAAGGAGCCGCCCTCTGTCGGTTAAAAAACGAAAGAAAGACATATTACATCCTCCGATCGATTCGGTTAATAATACTTTTAATTTTTAAAATAGAAACACTTCGATTGATCATGTGTACTAAAATATATATATATATATATATATATTAAAAAATAATTAAATCGATCTAAAGAAGCGAGTCAGATATATAAATTCGATAGCAGTCAANTGATAATTCTTATAGATTAATTTAAACCTTACATAATTGGTTTAGAAATATAATACACTACTGTTAATCAACTAGTGATACTGTATTGCCACATATCCTCAATAATAATAATAATAATAATTATATTTTTCTTTAATTCTGCTTGCTTATACATAAAATTTTGTATCACATGCCCTTGCATGTTATCAATAAACATGTGCGATATGATAGCATAACAGTAAAAAAAAAAATATATGCATATTTTTAAAAATGTACTGTACTTTGATTGAAATATATAAAAAAGTAGTCATGCCATGTAAAAAAATGCAAGCATGCCCACGATTTTACCAGCTTCAGCATGCCTTTAAAATGTTTTTAAAAAGGAGTATATATTAAAAAATAGCTAAGGAAATTGAATTTAAAAATTTCAAAAAAAAATCAAAAAATTTATTGTTATATATATGAAAAATAGGGGAATGGAAGCTGAATAATAAAACATTCTGAAAAATTTCTCCATGAGCATAGTTACCGTAATAACAACTCGCCTTTAAACAGCTGTATAAATGGTCCTTTGAATGCGTTATATTTCAGCCAATTCTCTACTCTGTGCTTACCTCCATCGTCCACGGTAAATTGAAACTGTTCGTTTGGTTCCTCTATAAGTGTGGCATCTGCTAGAGGTATCTTGCCAACGTTCTGTCAATAAAAGAAGTGTGTCAGTATGTTTACTTACAATTACAAACCTTAGTTATAATTGGTGATGAGGATATTTACCTCCACAAGATGGAGTTTCCCAGCTGAAGTTCGAGTACAGAGAAGCATGTGGTTTGTGAAAAGGTAGCACTGTCTCACTAATTCCTTTTCACCTCTCAAATTTCCGATTCTCGAACGTTGACCTTTCGTTTTTTCGCTGCTTATTATTTGTATAACACTCCCTGTAATAAAAAATTAATAATTGTTAAAAACTTTTATTTACTATTGTTTAATTTATTTTATATATAAGCCTACTCTGTTTCATAAAAAAACAATTTTAATTTCAAATATCATAAGCATGAATTCCATTTAGAAATGTTGCACAATCTGATGTATCTGAAGGTTTAATATTAAAGCAAAGACATTTGCATGTTTTTTTTTTTCTTTTTTTTTGCAATTTTGCATTTAAAGGTCTTCTTCATACACACACAGGTCTATTGATGCATTGTTGTTGTTTGTAAGCTCTTCTTATCTTGCATCCACATTTAATTTTTTAATTAAATTTATATATTTTTAAAAGAATTTGATTCATAAATCACTCTTATAATTTTCTGTTGTGTCCATTTATAATTGTTCCTAATTATATATTAATGCATTATCACATCGNTTAAAAAAATAATTATATAGTTTATATGCCTACCCTGTCGTACGAAAACTTGATTAACATCTAGAAGAATATCGCACCCTCCGATAATTATTCTCTCGATGGCTAAATTCTTTCGGATGTTTTCTGTTTCGCTAACTTCATCATGCATCTGCTGCTTAAATTACATGTAATAAGCGATTTTTAAGGGTTAAATTAAATCAATACAGAGCTATGAACTCACCCTCGATAACTCTTCTAATTTAACTCTAGCTATTTCTAAACTCTTTCTTTCTACATGATTATGTGGAGTATGTGCAAGAAGTTCATGAAGGAGAACAATGTACCTAGGGATCTAAAAATTTATATTAATTAAACTTTAAGAAAATTAATTTATTTTCTTATTCGTATACCGTTAAAATTGTTCAGGATTTATGCAACTTGCTTGATGCATGGGATATGTTAGAAAATTTTCCAGTGTTCGCCCCTGCAATGTCGACTTCTCCTCTAAACGTTGAAGTATTGCAGCGAATTTTTCTCTCTGTTTACATTCGGCTAGGACTTGGAGACTGTAGTGATGATTTCGGACATATTCCTGGTAGATTGTGAGCATGGGTAGAAGCATGTCAAACAGGTCACCTGGAAAAAATTAATTTAAATAAATTTCTCTCTCTTGAGAACTTTGAATATTTCTTATTAAATCAGAAAGTTACTTAGTATAATAGTTACTTATTAAAAGCTTTTTTTAAAAATTAATATTTACCTAAAACTAATGTTGGCCAGCTTTCCATTCTGGCAGTTAATCCTTTGATGAAAATTTGGTGGAGGAACATGACGGTTTCGCTTATAAAAAGAAAGAAAGAATAAAAAATATAAAGTATTGACTTAGTATCTAATCTTCTATAAAAGTAGAGTGTAATCCCTGTGGTGGTTTACTCTTATTTATCAATCTTTGAAATGTCAAAATACACAAATTTATCACAGAATACTTTAAAATCTGCTGTAGTTTATTTGTTTAAAAGTATATATTAAATTAAACTTATAAAAAAATGATGGAAATTTATTATATTTTAGAGGAATTTTTTTATCTTAATGATCTTTTTCGTCGATAAAACGTTAAGTGCATGTTCTCTAAATAACATTTTTAACGATTTCTTTCTTAATAAAGCATTTTTAATATCTGTTTTGGTTCATCTATGCAATTAAAAACAATCATAATAATATTCTTTATTTTTAACGATTTATTTCTTTACTTTCTTCCATTTTTTTCATACTTTCTATCCTATTAATTTTTATTTTTATAACATTATTAGAATTAATTTTTAATAGAATCTTAATATCTACATTTCATTTTATAATTTGAATATTCTCCTCTGTGTATAAATTTTTAATTTTTCTATTTTTTGGCTTATTAATTTTAGAAAATATGTTTTTTCTAAAATAATAAATTGCACTTTACATATAAAAAAGTAATACGACGTTTTTTCAATGATTTTTAATGAAAAATTATATAAGTTGTTTAGCAGATGTAAGTTCACAGACTTTTGAATTAAAGACCTATAATCTGGAAAAAATATCTTTAGATATGTCTGTCATCATTCATATGTAATACCCGAAAAATATATCGTATGTTTGTAACTACAATTTATTTCCTTATACATGTGATATCGCTTATTTTGATACATCAGTTGAGAAATATCCGACATTTTTTGCCTTTCAGACGTCATTTTTTCTTTCCTGTTTTGTTGAAAATGTGAAGAAAAAAGAAACTAAAGAATAATAAAATTATAGTTTATATTGAATTTAGTAATCTTTTTACTGAAACAAATTTTCCATAATATCCTCATATAAACAGATTGTAATGTTGAATAAATTGCATTAAAAAGCATCTTATCAATGTTTAAAAGCTCCATTTTCCATCTAACTTTATTACTGAAGTAATTGGAAAGATAAAATATTTTTTACAAATTTTATTTTTTTAAAATAATAATAATGTATATATATTCAAAAATTGTATTGATTTAATTTAAATTTAATTATGTTAAATTTTAGAAGTTATTTTTATTCGAATGTTTGACATTAACACTGCTCTTTAATAAAAGTTATAAGTAATAATTAAGATATAAAAATAAGGAAAAGAAAGAAATTCTTCATGATACAATTATATTTTGCTCATTAAATCAATGGCATATCCCTGAGGAGATAAATCAGTACTGTACATCATAATCGTGATGAAGAGATAACAAAAATAATAAAAACCTTCTTGTTATACTCCCTTGAGTTTAATTATTATTAATAATTAACAGATTTAAGATTCTAAATCAGTTCATATCCAAAAAAAAGGAAATAAAATAAACATTATGATAAATAAGTTACTGTACTTGAGACGAGTAGATTTATTATTTTTAACGAAAAAAGGAAATTCTTGAGCTATTAACGAACATTTTTGAATTAAAATTATTAATAAGCATATGTATAAACTAAATTTAATTATAAATTAATTATAAATTAAATTTAATTATTAATTTAACATTAATTTATTCTGCTATTCATAAAACGATGAATTTTTCTTACCCATTGAGGAATATAGAATTCACTTCATCATGAGTACAAGGTGGTTTTTGAGAACTTGCTGCCATTTTAAATGGTCTCAAAAAACACGAAACTACTAGCTGAAGTTGTTCCACATATTCTTCCTCAGATTCGACCATCTTAAATACTAAACTATAATATAAAACAAACAAAACATTAGTTTAAACCAAGTAAAAATATCTTCTCTTTAAGAAACATTAATCAAAGAAGTTATTTTAAGGACGACATGATGTGATAGGATATTACAGAAGCAATTATAGTAGTGTAATTGCGTAGGGGAAAAAACGGAATTGCTTATTTGGCATGATAGATAAATCACACGATTCATTTCCTGGAATCCTCCTCCTCTTTATGAATTTATTTACCTGTTTCTTTTCCTCATAGCTTCTGCATGTGGTGAGTTGATATATTCTGCAACTATTTGTTTCCACCTCCTTCGACATAACCATCCCCTAAAGAAGCTTTGAACCTGACGAAAAGATGTAATTACTAAATTTGTAACAGAATATCAAGAAGATTATTTAAAAAAAATAAAAATAACTAATGAAAAATGCGAAAGTTAATTACCAGAAATCTAGAAAATTATCTCAAGAGTTTTAATGATTGAAATGTTTTTTAAATATAAAATTTTTCATTGATTTTTAATAATTTTTCCTTTTTTTTACCTTTTTAATTTTACGAATTTCTTCGCTATCTTCTTCTTCAGACTTGCTTGGAGTCATTCGCCATTCTCTCTTCAATTGACACAGCTTTGAGAGATAATTAAAAATTTATAACGATTTTCTAGTTAATTTACTTAGATTATTAAAATTTAATTTTTTTTATAAATCATAATATAAGTAGTTTTATTTATTTATATAATTTATAAAAGAAAAATAAATTCTAAAATTATTAAATATTTTATTATTTTAAAAAATATATGTATAACGAACGATTTCATTCTATTGGATGAAATTAAAAGTTGATGCGCATTAATTGGTTAGATTTTAAATTTTAAGGCGGGATTTGTCACCGATATAAAAATACTTTATTTTAATGGTCAGTTTTCGTGTAATCTATCTCTAATTGGTTAATTTAAATTGTATTACTTAAAAATTGTGTTTATGCGTTTTATACGAAATATAATGACTAGATTTTGTATATTTTTTTAATTATATAAAATATTAAAAATTATCTACTTATAAATTTAATATAAAAAATTAAAAGCTAAAATAGTCAAAAAATATCCGAATAAAATTATATGAATGGAATCACATTTATAATAATTTAACGCAAGCATTATATCAATTATCTTCAATCATAAGCATATTATCCAGAATAATTCGATATAAAGAAAAAAGCTAGAGTAATATGATCAATGAAGAAACGTGACACTTCAATTTTATAGATTTAGTACATCAAATATAATATAGTATTAAATCTGAAAAACTGTGTAAAAGATTCTGTTTAATATTTTATTTAAAAAGTATAAAAAATATTGAAAACGTCATTTTAAACAATTTCTTTTTCATCTTTGACACGCATTTATCTTCTTTGAACACGTTTTGCTCCATTTTTGTACTATTTAACTGTTAAGTAGACGCATTATTATGTTTTATTACTAAAAAGTAAAGGAGAAAAAATAGCTATATTATCACAATTTTTAAGGAAGAAATTTATTAAAATTGATAGGAAATCATTTTATACTAAAATTATTAATAAAATCTATTTTTTATCGCATAAAAATTTAATAGAATGATTAAATTAAGCACAAAAAATTAATATATCTACTAATATAAATCCAATAATGTTGAATGGCTCTGTGAATATATGCCAGCATTTTTCCAAACATAATATCGTAATATTTTAAATATTTTCTCTAAAACTCTTTTAAGTAGTTTAATATTATTTGAGAATTTTAAATTACAGTGCCTCCAATAAAAAATAGCATGACAATCATTATATGAATCAAGATTATACTATAAAATTCTCTCTCTCTTATATTTCAAGTGAAAAGTAGTATATACCATTTATCATTCATGCGTATCCTATAATAATATATGATGTGCTTTGGCCTATCCGAAATAACTGTATATAGTATATATTTACAATCTTATTTCTGATATGTTTATCTTTCTTAGAAACGATCATATTGCAGATGGTTTTATATGATTTACACATCATTAAATGAACCTTAATATAGCAGAATAAACATATTTTTTAAAAAAGAAATTGAATTTTTACCCGTAATATAAAACACTTTTTAGTTTTAAAATCCTTTAACAATTATAAAATTATAGATATTTATTAATTGTATACTTAAAGATGACGTTGAGATTACTACTGATCTTAAGTCTCATCTCATTTATAAATTAATTTTATTAAAAATTAAAATATTTATTTTTACTAATATAAGATTTTTTTCTTAAATTATATAATTTACCACACACTAAAAATAGTTCTTGTTGATACAAAATGCTTTTTAAAAAAATAGACGATGTTTATTTATATATATATTATATCAGTACATATTATATAACTCCATTAATAAAGGAAAAAAAATATACTGGCTTTAATCTGTTCTCATATTACATAGTTCTTTATAAGTTTAAAGTATAAAATTTCTATAATTAAAATTTGTTCTCATTATTTTCTTAGCTTAGAGAATTTATAAGAATATTTTTATTTAAAATCTTATTATTATAAACATACTGCACTAAAAACACACTCTTTTAGAATTTTAAGATTACAGCCATAAATTATAATTTGTTCATTTAATAAACTTTATAAAAAACGACTTAGAATATGTATATTTTTTTCATTTTGTACGAAATTCCATCAAGAAATATCGAATAAATGTGGCAAAAGCACAATCATATGTTTTGCTGTAAGCTAGGTCATTTGGTATTTATGAAATGAAATATTCATTTTTATTTTTTTACATTAGTTCGGTTATATTTGTAATTGAATTTTATACTTAGAAACAGAATAAAATTGTTGAAAAAAGAAAGATAAATATCAATAAATTCTGAAATGTAATGTTTTCTCTTATATATTGTTTTAAATCTGGTGATTTTGTACTGTACAGTAGGCCTACATTGTATGACTTACAAGTATGCAAAGAATTTTAAAAATAAATTTAGAAAACTTAAAGTTATTTATCTAGATTCACAAAAGTTTTACTTCTTTAAGCAAAATTAAATTCCCCTTGAGTATTTTTCAATATAAAAACATACATTTCTATTATTTGAATTAAATATAGTTGTGTTTCATTGCTAGACATTACTTTTGATTAAATTATTTTAAAATGAAGAGAATTTACACTGTAAAATATTTCTATCTAAAAAATACTTTTCTTCTATTACTTATATTGAAAATTATCAAATTATTAAAATAATAAATTAACAAAGATTTCCAGAAGTATGCGAATATATTTATCATGCAATTTTATAATATAATAAAATATGTATTTTCATCTCAGTAATTAAGAACAATCAAGTAAAATATAGAATCAAAATTACAACAATTTGTGACTATTAAATATCATTCAATTCAATCAGAATGGAAGAAACAGGTATGAAAGTAGTGAAAGATTATATATCATAAAAAAACCCTTTACATGAATATCCTAAAAATGATATTAAAAAATAGGTTATTTGAATCATGACGTCTATTTTTAACTTACTTCTGCACGAAGTTTCTTGATTTCCATCGACAATTCCTCGCATTGCTGAGCGTATTGCCATTTGGCAGTTTTTTCACTTTCTACAATTTGCACCAGATGAAGATGTTTTTGTTCCAATTCTTCTTTCTGCAGGACTACTTTACTAAAACTGCAAATAAAAAATAAAATCATAAAGGGTTTAATTTAGTTTATAAAGCGTTATTGTAAGTTTTGAATTAATTGTAATAAAAACATCGATATAAATTCACAACAATTGCGCTTTCAGATGCGATTACAATCGAATGAATTAACATTACGATGTTTACTAGGCAAATTAATAAAAAGCACTCAAGTTAATATATCAGGTAACATGGGAATTTTGTTTCATAATTCCCAATGTTACAGAACATATTAATCATATATATGTTTCAGCAGATGGTGATAATGCAATTGAAGGGTGAAAGATAATAAAGATTCCATTAAAGTATAAAGAGAGTTTCTGTTGTTAATTAAGGTAAGCACTTGTTTACTCGATATCTTTTAAATAATATTGTGCTAATCTTGTCATATATTTTTATATGTTTTATATGAAAACAGCGTTGTAAAAGTTTTAAAAATTTAGAATGATCTAAAACTTAATATTGCTATTTGTTTGCTTATTTTTATTATTTTAATTTATATTTCTGTGGCTCTTATTTTTTTCAAATCACATATTTATATATTAAAATGAAAAAAAAAATTAATACAAACAATAGTGGAAATTAATTTAAAATAAAAATGATTATTGGTCGATTTAAAAATGTAACTTGCTGTGATTGGTTAAGATAATTTTTTGCACGTTATTGCAATTATTAAGCCGTGGCTTCGTACTAAATGTTTAATCAAAATTTTATTTATTGGTTAATTTCAAAATCCATTTATTTCTGATTGGCTTTACCTTAATATTGTAAATTGTGAATTTTATTAAAAATATAAATTAGTGTTTTTATTAAAAATTAATTTATTAAATTAAATTTAAAATTGCTTATTTGATTTTCAAAAATTATTTTAAACTGGTTTATTAATTATTCATTAAAGTTGATACAAGAATAAATATAATTAATTTTTAAAAAATGCTCATTTTTACCAGACTTTGCCGCATATAGATAATTTTATTTCTTTAAGTTAATTTAATTATATAGGTGAAATTTTTCAATTAAGTTCAATTTAATAATAAAATAAAACATTAATAATTTTAATTTTATTATAGTGTAATTGCTTGTTACCTAGCTCCTTCTATAGCCTGGATCCAACTGTTGCATTCTGCTTCTGTCTCTGCTTTTAAATCATATTGTCTAGAACCCTCTCGACGATACGTTATTGCAAAACAATACTGGAAATAAAAGCAATATACGTTTATTTATTTGTTTACTTTAAATTCATTAAAAAAGAAAATATTTAATGGCTGAAAATCAAGACTTAATGTGAACAAACACAATAAGTACTTATCTATTAACAATATTAAAAAGTTTATGACACCGGACTTATGACCCCGAACAAAACAGATTGCAGAGTAAACTACACTTCCTACAGCAAGCATTTATAGCACTTTCTTCATAAAACTCCATACTTTAGCTCCGGCACTAACTTCTTGACCGAGTGTATTAGAGCTTCCGAGTGTCATTTGACCTTTGCTATGTTCCTCTTTTTTATAGACTAGGAATAAAGTAACTTAAGATGTTTTTGTTTCCCACAATCTTTAAGTCTACAAACGTATCATTCTCTTAAAATAGTTTTTTACACTTATTGAAAAGAGTTTGCGGTGTTTTAAATTTTCAATTTCGAAATTTTATTTATATTTTTCCACATTATATTGATGTATAATTAGATTTTAAATTAATGTCTTTGATGTTAAATCTATACAGCTTAAAAAAACTATCTAAATTAAAAAAATAACTTTAATTTAAATGAAATAACAACTAACAACAGAATAAAACAAAGATAAAATGAAAAAAATAAAATTTTTTCTCCGATAAATTCTTGTTAAGTAAGAAACTGAGAACGTGGTTGAGTATTCGAGTATCACTTAATTAAAAAGTTTCACAAAAACCACTAAATATTTAATTATATTGTGGAAAAAAAGAAGTTAAAATAACGACGATTTAAATAACTTATTTTTGTAAAAATGTAATATTTAATTAATCAAATATTTAAGTAAAATATGCGATTTTAAAATGTAAAAGACATCAGAGCAATAGAATTTTAGTAAATATTTATTATTAAATTACTTCTGTAAGCTCTTTGTAAGTGAATTTAATAAATCTTAAATCCATATAAATTTATTATTCGATAACTTTAAGAAGCCTTAAATATAAAATATTGAAATATATTAAAAAATAAATAAATTCTAGTTCTAAATGGTAGGAAAATATAATCTTTGGTTTCTCTCGTGTAAAGTTCAAATGATATTATACAATTTTAAAAATGTACAGTTCTTTTAAATTTAATAGACTATATTTTTACTTTTTTTCTATTTTTCTATTTTAAATTCTATTTAAAAAGTATATAATTTATTAGATCCTAAGAGTTGGAAATTAACTCAAGGATATATTTTTTTTATAATTGTTATTGCCAATGTACTGTACACTTCATAGCTATTAAAAAACAAAAAAATGAAGAACTACTTATTTAAAAAAAAATCATTAATTTACTCATGTCAAAACCAACCTTCTAAATCATCAAATTTACAAGCATACCGTTCAATATTTGGAGAAACGAAGGAGGAAAAGAAAAAAAACGCATCTTACACCAACCAAATCGTTAACGAGAAAAGTAGAACACGATTGAAAAAGATGTTAATGAAGAATCTTCAAGTAACACATTTTTGTGTGATGCGTTTAATTAAGTTCATTTTTTAATTTATGATATATACATATAATATTTTTTTGACAAATTTAATTAGAATAGATAGAATTTTATTTTTTTAATTTGTTCTTATTATTTACAAACTAAACTCTTTGATCATCAAACACAAATTGCTCTTTCTTAAAATAGAAGAAAGAATCAATAGTTGTCTTGCAGGCAAAAATAAATGTCTATAGAAGATTCCTTCTTCATGTTACTTTACAGATATCCCTGCGGCATTCAAAAAGGGGGATATACTTCTACACTACTTTAAAAAAAAGGATAAAATATCCGAAAATACGGATTCTCAGATGAGTACTAATGATTATCCGTTTGCCAAGTAAATATAGATAATTAATGCATGTTGTTATAGGTATAAACAGTTTCATTCTAATGATGTATCTCTAATTATCCTGTGCTTATTAATGCGATGCTAGGTAACAACGAATTATACAAATGATACGGTTATTATCGCAGTTATTCAGTTGATGATAAAGAAGTTGATTCATATTCATCAATAATATCAAATAAAAACGTTAACGCAATCATTAATTTTCAGGAAATTTTGTAAAATTTAGCTAACTGATTAGTATGTTAAACCCAGATCATCTCTAGAGGATTGCATTGTTCGAGATAAAGTTGTCCCCATTAAATTTCGCTTCTAAACATTTGTTTGAATAGAAAATGGTTAATATAGTTTCTATTTACTAAACATCTAGTCTCCCATTCGGCAAAATAAAGTTAAAACATACAATGTTATTTTTTTAATCAAAAAAGGAAACAATAAAGATTCCTGACTTCGACTAGATCAATAAACAAACATGATTCCATCAGTCAATTTTTATTTATTTTTTCCTCCATTTTTTCTTGCTTCCTCTTCTCTACGACCTGATATGAAAAGAGATGATTGATTATCAATTTATCTAAGAGTGAAATTTTTCAATTAAGTTCAATTTAATAATAAAATAAAACATTAATAATTTTAATTTTATTATAGTGTAATTGCTTGTTACCTAGCTCCTTCTATAGCCTGGATCCAACTGTTGCATTCTGCTTCTGTCTCTGCTTTTAAATCATATTGTCTAGAACCCTCTCGACGATACGTTATTGCAAAACAATACTGGAAATAAAAGCAATATACGTTTATTTATTTGTTTACTTTAAATTCATTAAAAAAGAAAATATTTAATGGCTGAAAATCAAGACTTAATGTGAACAAACACAATAAGTACTTATCTATTAACAATATTAAAAAGTTTATGACACCGGACTTATGACCCCGAACAAAACAGATTGCAGAGTAAACTACACTTCCTACAGCAAGCATTTATAGCACTTTCTTCATAAAACTCCATACTTTAGCTCCGGCACTAACTTCTTGACCGAGTGTATTAGAGCTTCCGAGTGTCATTTGACCTTTGCTATGTTCCTCTTTTTTATAGACTAGGAATAAAGTAACTTAAGATGTTTTTGTTTCCCACAATCTTTAAGTCTACAAACGTATCATTCTCTTAAAATAGTTTTTTACACTTATTGAAAAGAGTTTGCGGTGTTTTAAATTTTCAATTTCGAAATTTTATTTATATTTTTCCACATTATATTGATGTATAATTAGATTTTAAATTAATGTCTTTGATGNTAATCAAAAAAGGAAACAATAAAGATTCCTGACTTCGACTAGATCAATAAACAAACATGATTCCATCAGTCAATTTTTATTTATTTTTTCCTCCATTTTTTCTTGCTTCCTCTTCTCTACGACCTGATATGAAAAGAGATGATTGATTATCAATTTATCTAAGAGTAAACAAATCGATTTTACTACTTTCTATATTATTGAATAATATAATTAAATTTATTTATACCAATGGAAATTATAAGACTGTTTGAGAATGTTAAAGAATTTTTCTAAATGAATATACAGGAACACAATGAAAGTACTTAAACTTAATCCATAATGGACGAAATATTGATCGATTTAAAATTTTAATAACAGAAATATTTTGAATCTCTTTGCAATTTGTTACATTTTTTATTTAAATTCTTAACAATGAAATTTGATTGAAAACAATATTTTTAATAATGGTTAAAGTCTTGTTTTACCATATTTAACGTGTTCAAGAACATCTTGAATACTAATGAAGTTAATTTGTTAATGAAGTAGGCAAAGCTCTTTAATTGTTTATCAGAAAATGTTGTTAATCTTTTTGATAAAAGAAATCTAATTAATTGAAACAAAGTAACTAAATATGTGTATGCGCTTTTTTGAATCATTATTTTTGTACTAAATACAACAAAGGAATGGCTTATAAATAATAACGAACTTCCTTTTTATGTGTAATAGTTTTTATTCAAACCAATTAAGAAAATGGCTTATGAGTTGGTCATATCTGTCTGGTTAGTGATATAAATTTCTTGTAAATGTTATTAACTCGACAATGTAGAATTTACTAGATTAAGTTTCTCTAAACGAAATTCGATAAGGATACGAATAAATTTAATTAACAAATATTTGCATCGGTATTGTAATGGAAATTTTACTATAAAGTCAACAAAGCGTGATCGACCCAATTGATAATTATATTTTAAATCTGTATCTAAATTAGGTTATAGGCACTAAAATTTTTCTGCAATATATTTTTATATTTAAAAATTTATGGGTCTACTTATTATATTGTATGAATTAAATAAGGAAAGCTGTTAAAGTTTCCTCACTGCTTTCGACGAAGTACTCTAAAATTCATTTTTAAATCTAACCAATTTCTTATACTTAAAATATTTTTCAAGGACTGTTCTTTACGTATATCCATTACTTCTTTCTAGATACGTAAAGTTAAAAGCATGTCATACAGAATTTAATCTCACGTTTCTCACTTTTTCAAACTATTCAACGATAAAACTAGAATGTTAACAACAGGATTTCGTTATGTTCTATTTTTACATTGGCAGACTCTAATGGGTACAAATTGATTACATCCAACAAATGCAGCAAATGGATAAAAGTCCTTTTTCTTTTGCCATTAGCTATGTTTAAGTCTTTTTATTGGCACCTTTACTCATTATCTCACTTAGGGAATCATCTTGTTTCGTTATAAGTTAATGGTACGGTACTTTACGTTTCTTTATTTTAAGATTTTCAAATATAAGAGTTTTTTTAAATTTTCTGTATGAATACCAGAAAAACTTCCCATTAACAAATAGACAGACATAAAGCCAAATTATCAAATATTTTTTATCCTCTACCTATAAAAATTGTTAACAATTTCATATAAATAATTAATAATACGTTCATTTCTATAAAGGAAACATTTTAGAAGAGACCGTGATTGATTTAATTTAATAGTGATCTCGTCTAACAAATGAAACAGTATTAAAACAATATTAGTGACTCATTAATCGAAAAACCAATTTTTGACTTAAAAAAATATATAGAATACTGTAAACTACAGGAACGAAGAAATCTCATCATCACTTAGAGAAGAAAAGTAACAAAGAGCAAAATATCTTTTAATAAAAGACACTTTTATTACTTTCATAAAAATATTTTAAAATGCAAGATTCTTAAACACAAACTCTAAATTATAGCAGAAATCAAGACTATCCGATCCTCTTAGGAGTAAATTTTCATTAAAATCTCCATTTGTTCCTTTCATCCTTTTCATTTAAATGATTTTAATTGATTTAAATTCCTTATTTTCTGTATTAATTTTTTTTTTAATTTTAATTTATAAACTCTTTTTTTTATTTTTTTTTAAAAAGTCGGCTGTATTTATTCGATTTTCCAACAGAAATTTATTTACTGTTTTTATTATAAGCCTATTACAAAAACAAAATTAATCTAACTTCAGTTAAAATAATTCTCTAGTTTAAAGTGCAGTTTCTAGAAAGGAATTTTTTTAAACGTTTATATTTCTTTTCTAGACTTTAAATTTATCTAAAATTTGACATATAGTTTTGTAGCATCTTATGGACGAACAAACTTAGTTTGTTCTTCAGGCAATTGTGGATCAAACAACAACTATATTATCCGATCTGAAACATCCACCTGCTTGCATTCCTGACATCTTCGTGATACTAAGCTGACAATACAGTCTATAAATATGGTATATCGGTTAAGTTTTGCTTCCGTCTTTTGTGATATTTTACAATTTTCTATAATGGAATTCTACTTAAATTTACTTGAACAGAAAATAGATATATTACGTGAATACCTCGACTAGAAATAACTTTAACATTTAAAAAATTGGTTTTAATTAACACAGTTTCACGCTATCATTTTTCTTATAAATGACCATTCATGTATTCCAAGTTTAATCGTTTATATACTAATTATAAAATGTTCAAGCGTACTTTAACATGACACGATTAGAATATAAATATCTTTACGTGTAAACTAGTTGTAACCTATAATTAAATATATCGCCTTTTTTAATTTAACTTCATTAAACTCGTAAATTAATTTATTATGTTTAGAAAAGTTCTTAATAAATATCAGCGTGTAAGCGGTAAAATAAAAATAACAAGAATAAAATGAAATAATAAAATTTAAATTGTTTATTAAGTGTTTGGGTTCAGAAGTTTTTAAATTGACCAATGAAATGCATGAATTCTGAGTGAAAAATTTACATATTTATGTAATTGGTTGGTTACGTATAAACTGACCAATGAGGTACTTTCATTTTCAGCTTTAAATTATATGTTTAATTGGTTACTCGAATATAAATTGACAAATAAACTGCTTCGAATTTCTAGGAAATTTTTCTTTAAAGAGAAAAAGGTTGTGCAATTACAACTTTAAACAATCTGTAATCACAATAGTATTAAGAATAAATTGCGACTACAGAGATAAATTAGAATTTCGATGACATTCATCACACTTATCTAATAGGTAACACATTATTTAGACAATTCTATAATTCTGCTTAATCCTGTTGCTAGGAGAGAACATTGAACTACCGCTGTGACGTAATTCTCTTTTATCATCACTGCAGCAGACACTTCTCACACTAGTTAGGTCACTTCCTAAGATCCTTTCTATCTGATTTCTCAACTGAGAATACAAAAATGTCATATCAGTTACTCTCTAGAGACTAACGATAAGGTTCAGCATTCGTTAAACTAACCACAAAGTCAAACTTCATAATTTTAACAAAATTTATATAAATTGCTCTATAAAATAATATAACAGTAATAAATTAAAATAAAGTAATAAAATTTAAATTGTTTTAATAAATTATAAGCAAAATATTTAAAAAAAAAGCTTTTATTTGGCTTATTAAGTTATTTAATTACGGGCCAATGAGATAGGCTACTTTGAATTAATAAATTTACATATTTTTTTTATTGGGTGATTTACATTTTAATTTGCCAATGGCTATTGATTAAGGATTAACAAATTTGTTATTCATTAATAAGGTTTATTTTATAATTTATAACGTTGTTTTAGAAGTTATTTTATAATATTTATAAGGATAATTTGTTTTATAAGCATATTAAAAAATATTTATAACTATAGGAGAAATATATATATATCATTTATAAGGATAACGAAAGAGTTTTCTACGCTTGGAAAAGCTTTTCCTAAGGATGATTAAATAGATTTCTTTAAGGATGAACTAATCGCTAGGAAATGTAATAGCAAAGAAATCGCTTTTTATAGGCTACCAGAGATTCGTTGGAGTATGAAGATTTTCCACTGATCTCTACTTTCGATATCAAACAAAAATCCTGAATTATCTATCAGTAGAAATGCAATTTTATATCCTATCTGACTAATAAATATGATAAAATATCGATATTACAAAATGAATACGAAACGACAGTAGATAATTAGAAATATTATCGAAACTAACAGGATATTGAATGTCGCCGTATCAAATTGTTATCATTTAAATTAAGATAACAACTCTAGGCATTATTAAAATTTAAGCTTCTAATCTATACATCGTTACTAAACTAAGTGAGAGAAGTTAAGATATTTTCATTTAAAAAAAAGAAAAGAAAATCCAAACAAAAATTGTTTAATCTCTTGGAAAAACTCGTAAGTGAAGAAAAAAACAAGAAAGAGAAAACGAATTTACATAGCTGCAATTTAATTAAATTTAGTTGTATCCAGTTGCG